GAAATATTTCAGTTTCTAAAGGCTATCCAGGGACTTTCATTGTTTCAGAAGTCCAAGATGGGAAGAAGAGACTCGGTCTCTGCTGATCAGCAAAGAATGTCTTTAAAAACGTATTGCTGGATAGTAAAACTATGCACGTAGTTAGATACTTTAACTTCAAAAAGCATTTTATAAACGTATATATTCGTATTTGCCGTGACTAATGTTGAAATAACTTGCTGTGTCTCTGAATGTTTTTTTTGGGGGGGGGGGAAATAATATAGATCTCTTTATGCAGAAGCAAAAGTTGGTTTAAACTTCATTGCAAGTACCGGATCATAGCAACATGTTGTCTTAATGTGGATAATTTTAATCCGTGGTTTTTCTGTGGTCTTTTTTGTGAAGGAACTGAGGAACAGAGAAAGCAACTGGCCCAAAGTTGCTTAGTGAGCATTTAACATTTCTCTAATTACTAATTAAAATTAACAATCGTTTAAGGAGAACCAGGTTTAATACATATATGGAGGATCATCTGAGAATACTGCAGTAGTTTCCAGGCCAATTCCAGTCATAAAATATTTCAGAAGAAAGTACTGGCACCCTCATCTCCATAATAACCAGATGCAATCATCAGGTTTGAAGTTTGACCAAGGGGCAACCTTATCTTTTTTTTCTTTCAACATTGCTATGGATTTCTTAAAGATTAGGGTTGGAGGTGGGAAACATTTGGAGTGGAGCTCAGAGAATATGCCCAAAATGGTGGGCATAGTATTTTTTAAAATTTTTATTTATAAAATTTATTTCCCATCCATCTTGTATCTACTGACTCTGGGTGGATAATATGGTATTTGGTCAAAGATGCCGAACTATGTAGGGTTTATTGGTATGGCACAGAGGCTGGAAAGGCAGCTGCAGGATCAAAAGCAGGGAATTGAGTTTGTATGATGCTGCCAATTGCATAGGAGTTTTGGATAAAAGCTTGATCTTGTGAACTATACGACCATGCTGCAATTTATGTTATTGTTTTTACAAATCGCTCAAGGTGGCAAACCTATCCATCACACCTTCCTCTTCCATTTTCCCCCACAACAACAGCCTTATGAGGTGGATTGGGGTGGGGGAGAGCGACTGGCCCAAAGTCTGGCTTTCATAACAAAAGTGGGACATATTGGTGAAAAGTTCCTTGCAATAAAGGGCTAGTCCTATTAATATTTCCCGGCCTTCTAGTATTTTAAATTAAAACTTCCAGTGTTTTGTAGGTTTCACCAGGTTGTTCCACTGATTAATTGTTCTAACTGTCAGGAAATTTCTCCTTGGTTCTAGGTGGCTTCTCTCCTTGATTGATTTCCATCAATTGCTTCCTGTCCTGCCTTCAGGTGCTTTGGAGAATAGCTTGACTCCCTCTTCTTTGTGGCAGCCCCTGAGATATCGGAACACTGCTATCATGTCACCCCTGGTCCTTCTTTTCATTAAACTAGAAATACCCAATTCCAACGACTATTCTTTATATGTTTTAGCCTCCAGTCCCCTAATCATCTCTCTCTGCACTCTTTCTAGAGTCTCAACATTCTTTTACAGCGTGGCACCAAAACTGGATGCAGTATTCCAAGTGTGGCCTTACTAAGGCATTATAGAGTGGTATTAACACTTCATGTGTTCACTTTCTTTTTTGATCCTTTTTAATCCCCAAATCCAGAAATTGTCAATTCAGTCTTTCAAGAAAAAGTCCATAGAAGCCCATAAGTCACTTTTTTCCTCTGACCAAACTGGTCAACTTCCCCATTTCTACAAGTTCAGTCAATTTTATAACTAAGTCTTCCACTGTGGTGATTGAATTGCTGTCCCCTCTTTGTGCATATAATAATCTTGTTACAATTACTTATACAATATTAATTTTTCATATTTCTTTTCTGGCTCAACATTCACAAAACCATTCTGATTTCATCATGGTAGTTTGCAGTATCTTTTGCATTATTGCATGACTTTGCATTCAGTATTTTTATTTATTTATTTATTTGTTTTAATTTGTATACCGCCCTTCTCCAGCAGGACTCAGGGCGGTAAACAGCCAAAATAAAACAGAACATACAAAATTTAAAAACAGTTTAAAAATAATTAAATATTTTGGCCGCAATTTAAAACAACCCAATTAAAATCAATTAAATTTAACCAAAAACAGTGGGATCAAGCCAGCCCAGCTAGGTGAAATAAATAAGTTTTCAGGGCCCGACGAAAAGTCCGGAGGTCTGGTATTGTACGTATCTCTGGGGGGAGGTTGTTCCAGAGGGCGGGCGCCGCCACAGAGAAGGCTCTCCCCCTGGTGGTCGCCAGCCGATATTGTCTGGCGGACGGCACCCTGAGGAGGCCCTCTCTGTGCGAGCGTACTGGCCAGTGGGAGGCTATTGGTGGCAGAAGGCAGTCTTGTAAATACTCCGGCCCTAAGTCATGGAGCGCTTTAAAGGTGGTCACCAACACCTTGAAGCACACCCGGAAGGCCACTGGGAGCCAGTGCAGCTCGCACAGGAGAGGTGTCACATGGGAGCGCCCCATCGCTCCCATAATCCCCTGCGAGGCCGTGTTCTGGACCAGCTGGAGCCTCCGGGTGCACTCCAGGGGGAGCCCCATGTAGAGAGCATTGCAGTAATTCTTTTCTTTTTTTTATAAGTCCACAATGCATGATAAAAAGCCCTTAGCCACCGCTAAACAGCTGGTTAGTGATGTGCCTGCAGTTTGCTTGAAGCCTCTACTGCAGGGGTGTCAAACTTAATTTCAATGAGGGCCGCATCAGGGTTGTGTTTGACCTTGGGGAGGTGGAGTGGGCGTGGCCAGAGTGGGCGTGGCCAGCTCAACGTTACTCATGTCGGGCGCCTGTAGTGCCAGAGAAACAGGCTCCTGAGTTCTGTTTTCGGCTCCGATGGCCTCCTGCATCCCTCTGCCAGCAAAAACAGAGCTCGGGAGGGTTTTCGCTGGCAGAGGCACCGCAGGCCAGTCCTTCGCTGTTTCCAGGGTGGCCGGATCTGGCCCTCGGGCCTTGAGTTTGACACCCCTGCTCTACTGCAATTCCAGTCAAAAGTAGCATGTTCAAGCCCACAAATCCAGCCACATTTCCATCTCCACCAAGTGGTCAGACAACTTGCTTTGATTTTCCTGGAGATCATCTCAAAGAGGCTGCCCTGCTCTGAACTTCCAAACTACCAACCTCCACGACACCAGCTTCTCACACCCAACACAAATAGAATGTGTGTGTGTACATACACTCTATCCTAGATCATTCCCAATGCCTGTCTTGTCGGTTCCTGAGCTGGAGGTTTTGGGGAAGTGCTGCACTGGGTATAAAAACAATTCAGGAAGAGATCGCTTGTGTAGTCAATCTCTCTACTCTGTGGGTCGGTAGGTAGGGGGGAAAAATGGGTCAGGCACAGGACAACGTGCACACTAACCAGGGTGGATAAAAATCAATGATTTTTTTTAAAAAAATCAAAAAAAGTCAGTTTTTTTTAATTTAAATCGGATTTTTTTTTATTTTTATCGAATTTATTTTAATAAAAAAACTTTTGGGGTAAAAATCTATCTTAAGATAGTTTTCTATTTAAGATATATAAATAATTTAGTTTATTCAGCATGAAATGGAGCTGTGTTATGTAGCATGAGGCTGTATATTCTGCAACACTGGGACTATCGGTGAGTCAACAGTGGGTCAAAGGAGTAGCAGAGATGACAGTTGCTCTTTAAAAATTATGATTTAAATCGAGTTGATTTAAATCAAGCCTTTTTACTAGTGATTTAAGTCACGATTTAAATTGTGATTTAAATCAACTCGATTTAAATCAAATCCACCCTGACACTAACTAATAGTGATCATGTGACTGTGAGAAATGCTGTGAAAGTTGTAAATGTGGCCCTTGCTCGCAATGTTACTTTTCCAATACCGTCATAACTTTGAATGATTGTTACTCAAGCAGTCAATAAGCAAAATTTATCTGCATTGATCACCGTATGAATATTCCTCATTCACTTACTCTAAGACAGGGGTATCAAACTGATGGCTTGAAGGCCGGATGCATCACGCACAGGCTATGACCACCCCAGCTCCGCGAAGGGGAAAAAACGTCACGAACCGTCACATGACGGTAATGTGATGCCACAAGTTTGACACCTGTGCTCTGAGACATGCCTTTAGGTAGTCTCAGAGTAATCTCAGGTAGTCTCAGGTAATCTTTTAAGTATCAGTCAAATCCCCCACAGTGGGCATCTCTCCCATATTATTATTATTATTATTATTATTATTATTTTAATCTGAAAATATTTCAAATACTTTCTTTAAAAGTAAGGAGGAAATTGTTTTCTTGTATTACCCTTTATTCTCATCCTTTCTGAAATGTTGCCCTGCATTAAAATTAGCACACTGAGGTAACATGGAGGTAGTCAAGATTTTCTGTTCATCTAAGTTTCTACCCCTGCGGCGCCCCCCCCCCCCCCCAGTTGTAACTGAGGGCCTATATTTCTTTTATAGGGATGATGCTGAGATTACACACACACACACACACACACAGAGACACACACACACACGCAGAGAGAGAGAGAGAGACAGAGAGAGAGTTTAAGCCATTTAAATGTGTTCCATAGTGTAGTATTTTGGTAAGATTATCAGAGTGCATGTTTTTTTTCAAGCTGTTAATGTGCTGGGTTCACACTACAAAACTAGGGGAGGGAAAGACAAATTGATGGGGCCCAGAAAAAATCTTAAATTAGATTTTAAATTAAAATACGTTTAAATGAATTAAATGCAATTAATATGATTTAATCCCATATGTTTTATAATGTTGCCATTGCCTATCGTTAACCCCTAGTTATGCTGCACCTTTTGGAAAACCCCCGAGTCTCCACTCCAGACACTTGGGGGCTTACATGTAGGCCGAGGAGAATGCAATAATAACGGGATGACTGTAAATGTCTAAATGTTGTTGTTGTTAATTACAGCCACATGATTCAAGTGGTTTCTTGTAAATTGTTTTTAACAGATTTCTCATCACTTGTACTCTAAGAGGCGAGAAGAGACCCATTCAAGAGAATGAGTGAACTGGAACAATTACGGCAGGAGGCAGAACAGCTCCGGAATCAAATCAGAGTAAGATGTCTTTCTAACATACTTCATGGTAACCCAGGAAGATCTTTTTTGTGAAGAGATTTTTATCTGCCCCTGTGCAGTTTTCTCCATATACCATCTTTCCTTTACCGACATTGTCACCGGATGGATGAAGGAGTCTTGAAAGACTTCAGGGCACAGTGCTGGCCCTCTTTCAGAGAGCCCAATGGGATGGATCTGAAATCTTAATGCATCCTTTTTGTGGTATTTCCAGCCAGGGAGTGTACTGTATATGAACCTTTTGCCTAATGCCTTGCTCCTTGCCAGATCTAGCCTGGCAGAATGAATCTCTCTCTGTCTCCCTTAATAAATGCACTAATTTGGTAAGGATGCAAAACCCGTTCCAGCCATTGTTATGTAAAGTAATCCTTTAAATTTTCTTTTAAAGGATGCAAGAAAAGCATGTAGCGACACAACTCTTGCTCAGGTGGGTTGCCATTTAATTTTCCTTCCTGCTCTGTTTTCCTAAGGAGCTAAGACACTTACAGCGTCTAAAATGGATGCGCAGAGTCTGCAGTTTAGCAGAAGTTCCTTGTCTTATGCCCCTTTTCCTTGGCCAGGAAAAAGACAATGGTTTTGATCGCTCTTCGGCATTGACTCTAGTCTAAAGACCTGCTAGTACGTTTCCACAATAGTTTAAAGGGGCTTGAGAAAAGGAATCAGTAAATCAAAATAGCAGTCATGGCTTCTTGGACTGTAACCATTTGCTCAAGCTTAGTTCCATTCGAGTACATCAAGCTCTATTTTTAAAATCATGGTTTGTGGAGCCATCTGTAATTGGCCAGATTTGGATATTATACCAAGTCACAAAGAATGGGTTTGTATGTTATGCAAAATCCCAAGCTTATACCATAGCTTAGCATCAGCAGACTTTTCAAATAAAGAAATGGTACATGACAAATATAAGAAACGACTTAGCATTGTATACTATTAAGTTGTTTCTTATACTCGGTTGTCATTTATTCTTATGCAGTCCAGGAGAAGGTTTTGAAAAGTGTCCTTTCTCTTTTCTCAGATCACCACAAGTCTTGACTCCGTGGGTCGAATCCAGATGCGTACAAGGCGTACCTTGAGAGGTCATTTAGCCAAAATTTATGCTATGCATTGGGGATCTGATTCAAGGTTTGTACAAATCCTTTTTGTTGTTGTTGTTAGTTGCGAAATCGTGTCCGACCCATCGCGACCCCATGGACAACATTCCTCCAGGCCTTCCTGTCCTCTACCATCCTCTGGAGTCCATTTAAGCTCACGCCTTCTGCTTCAGTGACTCCATCCAGCCACCTCATTCTCTGTTGTCCCATTCTTCTTTTGCCATCAATTGTTCCCAGCATTAAACTCTTCTCCAGTGTCCTTCCTTCTCATTAGGCGGCCAAAGTATTTGAGTTTCATCTTCAGGATCTGGCCTTCTAAAGAGCAGTCAGGATTGTTCTCCTCTAGGACTGACCGGTTTGATCGCCTTGCAGTCCAAGGGACTCACAGGAGTCTTCTCCAGCACCAGAGTTCAAAGGCCTCAATTCTTTACTTGTTTCTTGGCCATATGAACAGTAACATTGGAAAAAAAGCAGTCTGTTAATATGGAAACAAAATTCTCTAAGCAAAAATAAATTTAGATTCTTGGGAACATATTCAAAGCTGTAAAGAACCCTCTTAAACCCAGTAATTTGAAGACAGATTTGCTGTATTTCAGATTTGACTCCGAGATGTTAGATTTCAGTGTTTAAAAATAAATATTATATTTCTGTTCCCCAAATAGCTTTTTATTTAAAAAAAAAAAAAAGAACATGCATATGTATTTACAGTAACTTATTTTGTGAACTGAAGCAGTATTTAGAAGATTAGCATTTAAAATGGAACATTAGAAATTTATAGCAATAATTCCTTATTTTAAGCAGATAGGAAACAATTTGTTCTTTATTTTTAAGAATTAAGCTGTATATATTGAAAAGTTTTATTGTTCTGGGTTTTCCTGCATATTTTAGAATCCCATAACGAAATAGATAGGAAATTTTATGTAGCTGGAACAGCCTCAGTCATTTCCTGGGAAACTACTCATTTAAATTTAATATAAATAAATAAAATTCCTTTCCTCAAAACTGTAATAGTGATAAAGGAAACTAAGCTTATGCAGGTTGAACTTGCTTCCCTTTTTCCAGGTAACTGAATAAAATAAAAGGAGGAAGCACACACATTATACTGTTGCAGTGAATAGGATATACCTATTTATCTTATTTTGGGCTGTCCATTCTTCACCAACAGTGTACAATATTAGAGGGTCTACCAGTCAGGGATGGGCTTCAAAAATTTTAGCAAAGGGTTCTCTGCCCGTTGCTCGGTGGGCGTGGCCATGGTGGGTGTGGCCTAGTGTGCCTCCTGCACCATGGGTTGTGGGGGGGCATTTATGCCCTTCTTGGGCTCAGAAGTCTTTCCTCGAGCCTCCAGGCGGGCAAAAACAGCCTCCCCAGGCTCTGGAGGCCTTGTTTCCGGCTTTTCCGAACTTCCGGTAGGCCCATTTTTCGCCCTACCTGAGCCTCTGTGCGCATCCTGCATTTACCTACATCCAAAATGGGCTGCATGGGGATTCAGGAGAGGGGAGGGATGGGCGGGGCCAGCCAGGAGTGGGATTTGGGGGTTCTCCGAACTGCCCAGAATCTTAGCTAGAGGTTCTCCCGAATCCCTGCGAACCCCCAGCAGCCCACCCCTGGTCTACCTGATTCCTCATCTTAATTGTCAGTTTATCTGGGTTTTAATCTTGTACACCAGCAGCTTCAACATGGTGTCCTTCAGTTTGGTTGGATTACGACTTGAAGCCAATATGTCATTTATTTGTTTTATTGAACTTATGTGCTGCCCGTCTCACCTAGAGGCGATTCTAGGTGTCTTACAATCAACAAAAACAGCAATATGAAACATTAAAGCAATAGAGAGGAATACTAAAAGTGCTTTAAAATTGATAAAGGTGGGAAGGTGCATATAAGGAGGAGGTGGGGTTTTATCTCTGACACGGCCCCATTGGAGCCTCAGGCCAGTTGGCAGAGTCAAATCTTCAGCCCTTTTCAGAAGGCCAAAAGGGTAGGTACGGATTTCACCTGAGATGTCACGATGTTCCAGAAGCCAGGAGCCACGGCGGAAGAGGCTCTTCTCCTTGACTCCGTCAGCTGAATTCCGCAGCAAGCCCCTTATGCCAACTTGGGTGGGACAGGCCAACTCTATTGAGATGAGACAGTTCTTCAGCTAACCTGGACCCATGCCGTGATGTTTAGCATCGGGTTGGGGAAGAATTGGCTAGGATTTCATAGAACTAAGCTTTTCAACATGTGGCCCTAATATCTTTTCTTGTGCCCTAAGCTGTGTGGTTCACAAGTTGAAGAAAGGGAAATTGGGGTCTTAGTGAATGCACAGGAATTTGCCTTTGAACTTTCAATTCTGAAACCACGAAGAGGAAGATACAAGGTTAACATATTAATACATATTTTGTTTGTGTTTTTCTTCATTTTATTTTATTGTTATCTTTAGGTTACTAGTGAGTGCTTCCCAAGATGGAAAATTAATTATTTGGGATAGTTATACAACAAACAAGGTACAGTTATTATTATTTTTTTAATATACTCAGTTTGAACATTTTATGCTGATGGGCTTGCTGATGGGCTTTATTTTTAGATTCCACTGCTAATTTTTTTAAATTTTTAATTTTTTTTTTCTGTCCCCCATCCAAACCTCTTTATTGGCTCTGTTATTTCTTGATGGTTTTCAGGTTTCAATACGATTTGTCGTCTTCTTATTTTTTTCTGTGTTTGGAAGTATAAGTCTGTTGTTTTCTCAAGCATGTCATAGAATATTCTGTTTCATTAATCTTAAAAATTCTGGCTCAAACACTTTGGTGTTTGGTAGAACCTCTGGTCACGACCATAATTTGTTCCATAACTTTGGTCGCAACCTGATTTGGTTGTGACCTGAACCTAATTTCCGAGGATTGTCGGAAAGATATTTCCTAGCAATGGGAACGAAAGTCTCGTTCAGCCAATGGTGTGGAAGGGGAAATTGGCTGCGGCCATGTTTGATTGCCACCCGAGTATGTGTTCATGACCAGATTCAAAAATTTTGTGAATTTTTTGGTCGGAACCCAATTTGGTCATGGTCAGAAGCATTTGTGACCAGAGGTTTTACTGTACAAACTGCTTGATGTTTGTTGAAATGTATATCGAAGTGCTTTGAGGTGTTAAGTTGTTCACGTTGGAAAGCAAAAGAACTACTGTTCTAAACAGCTACCTTGGTATTCATTTGATAGCGGGCAATAATAGTTGTGCCCTATAATCTCTTAAAATATTTTCAACTGAACCATTCAGTGTCACTTCAAATGCAAATATGCACCTTTTTTTATCCTCTCCGGAGCTAGTAAAAGGAGACCTGGGATGTTGCAAGTTAAGTGGGATTGAGACAAGTCCTGGGGAGGGAGGTCATTTTCATGGCACAATTAGCCAGTAATTCCAGTTTTTTTTTCTTCTTTCGTATACTCATTTGAAGAGTCTGGGATAGTATGAGATTAATTCACTATTCTTATATCAGAAAGCACTGGACGTTATTTTCAAAAAGATAGGTAATTTTGCCATTGGAGAGTTCGCTATTTGCAAAACGTATGGTTTGTCCTCTTTAAAACTGGTTGCAATGTCAGGTAGTATTTTTAACCCATTAAACTGTTGTACTATTTGTTCAATGCCATTGTGACAACCTGCTACAAAAAGGATAAACTCAGGGGTGAAATCCAGCAGGTTCTGACAGGTTCTGGAGAACTGGTAGTGGAAATTTTGAGTAGTTCGGAGAACCGGCAAATGGCTGGCCCCAGAATGGGGAAGGAATGGGAATATTGCAATATCCTTCCCCCAAGAGTAGGGCGGGAATGAGGATTTTGCAGTATCCTTTCCTTGGAATGGGGTGGGAATGGAAATTTTGCAATATCTTTCCCCCAGGAGTGAGGTGGGAATGGAGATTTTGCAGTATCCTTCCCCTGCCACGCCCACCAAGCCACACCACACCCACAGAACCGGTAGTAAAAAATTTGAATTTCACCACTGGATAAACTTGCTTAGCTCGGAGCGGATCAAAGCTCCTTTTGAAAACTGGGCTGGAATATTAACATTTTGAAGGAAAGTTCTGCGTTGATTTTGTAATGCCGCTGCCCACACATTATTGAGAGCAAAGGTTCAGTTCATTACAGCTAGTCCTCAACTTAAAAAAAATCAGTCCTCCTTGGGCAACATTCAGAGTTAGGCTGGACCTCCCTTTGAAGGGTACTTACGACCTGAATTCAACATTCTGAGGGTCTGGCACTTGGCAACCAGCCCACATTTGTAGCTGATTGCAGTGTCCTACAACCATGGGACTGCCTTTTTGCTTTGGCTTTGCAGAAAACAAGCATTTACTTCGTTTTTGGCAAACCCGGTGTCAACTTTATTTATTTATTTATTTATTTTATTAAATTTCTATACCGCCCTACTCCTGAAGGACTCAGGGCGGTGAACAGCCACAAGATAAAACACATAAATACAAAAATTTAAAATAGAATAAAAACGAATTCAATAATTTGGCTGAACAAATTTAAAATACCCCATAATTTAAAAACAAATTAAAATTTACATTTAAAAAGGGGAGAAGATTTAGGCCAGGCCAGCTTGATGAAATAAAAAAGTCTTAAGCGCGCGACGGAAGGTGCGCAGATCCGGGATCCTCCGTATTTCTGGGGGGAGCTCGTTCCAGATCGTAGGTGCCCCCCACAGAGAAGGCTCTCCCCCTAGGGGCCGCCAGTCGACATTGGTTGGGCGATGGCACCCGGAGGAGCCCCTCTCTATGGGAGCGTACTGGCCGGTGGGAGGTTATTGGTGGTAGCAGGCCTGATACGGTTCAGGCCTGCCTCAGCCATCTTTCCGTTTCTCAGATTGCCACACAGTGTGTGTGTGGTGGTGGTGGTGGGGGGAATGTCAGACCGGACGACAACAAGAGACATTCTCGTGGGAACCAAGGTCATCTCAACAGGTGCTGGCAGAGACTGAGGGGAGTTGCCAAGGAGATGCCAGAACACCTAATTGGACAATGTGACCTGTGACCTTGAAGGGAGGGAATTATCTCTTTAATGATACTGAAACCGCGGGAAATATTTAGAGCTGGTTTTGTTTTCATCCGTGCCGAAAGGATGTATTCGATAAAACAGTTCTGTGAGAAAGTTGAAAGTCTCAAGGGTGCTTCATTGGTTTGGTTTCATCAGTTGGAACCTTGGCACCCGACCTATAGCAAGCCATTGGTTTCCTTTACAACTGCAGTGTTTACTTAACGACCGCTGCAAAAAAATGTGAGTGACCCGATTTATGACTGTAATGGAATGGTTGTAACTTGAGAACTACCTGTATCTGCTGCTCCCTGTGCGATGGGAGTTGTTCCCATAGTATCAGTTAATCATCTGCACCAGTGTTTTTTGCATCTGATTTTCAAATAGGACAATTCCTCATAATGCTTCTCCTCCCCCTCCCCCCCTTTTATTTTTAAAGATGCATGCTATTCCTTTGCGGTCTTCCTGGGTAATGACCTGTGCGTATGCACCATCTGGCAATTATGTCGCTTGCGGTGGATTAGACAACATCTGTTCTATCTACAATCTGAAGACCCGGGAGGGCAACGTACGAGTGAGCAGAGAACTCCCCGGCCATACTGGTCAGCTGTCCTTCTTTTCCTTTTTGTTTCTTTGACCATTTGTAATGAAACTAGAATTACCCTTAAACTTTCTCTTCTTATCCTCTAAAACCAAGGGAGTCAAGTTGGGAAAAAATAATTGCATATTTTACCTCTCTGGGATTGCTTTTAAAAGGAATATATTTTTTTTCCCCCAAATAGAATAAGGAATAAATTTTCTAACATAGAATTTGGTCCCTTGGTTCTATGTTAAATAACTATTGTGAATATTGGGTTTGGGTTTTTTTTTTTTCTTTTTGCAATATTTGCACATATGGCATTTGCTGCTTTTTACGTCCTGTCCAAACAATTTAAAAATGTCTATTATTAAGCATTCAGCAAATTAACTTTATAGTAAATGTTATAGACATTTATGGCAGGCAGCTAGCTAGATATAATTTTTTGTTTTATTTTATTTTATTTTTATTTTATTACTTAATTAAATTAAATTTATTATTTTATTTTATTTTAATTTAATTTAATTTAATATTTTTATTTTTGTTCGTTCGAGTTAGCTGCCACTGGGCCATCCCATTTCCAATCTGTTCAGTGACTCAGCTTTCCCCAGATCTTGAAATCGTTCCTCTGACTTTAGACATTTGTAGTGTTCAGTACTGTATTAAAAATGTTTTTAATAAAGGCTGGAAGGAAGCAGAATTCTGGGCCTAATCTGAGTTACAATTTTGAAACAGCCATTTTGCTACTGTTCTCTTTTCAGGGTACTTGTCCTGCTGTCGCTTTCTAGACGATAACCAAATTATTACGAGTTCTGGAGACACTACCTGGTGAGTATCCTGGGATCTTCTTCTTCTTTTTTTTAATGAGCTCCCCAAGCTAATTATTTGAGCTTCTGAATTCAAATGCTTTTACTTCACTTTGCAGTGCTCTGTGGGATATCGAGACGGGCCAACAGATGACTGCCTTTACTGGGCATACCGGTGATGTCATGAGTCTGTCTCTAAGCCCAGACATGAGCACTTTTGTTTCGGGTGCCTGCGATGCCTCCTCCAAGCTCTGGGACATCCGAGATGGGATGTGCAGGCAGTCGTTCATGGGACACGTGTCTGACATTAATGCAGTTTGTGTAAGTGACTGTTGTGCTCGTGAATATATGAGAATATGAATGCTTCTTCGTAGTTCTAGCTAGTTGTCTTCAGCATCTGCTAGATGGTTTTGGATTTTCCATCGGTGTATCAGACGTGTGCAAATTCTTTTCATCTCTTTCATCTGTGGAAGCCAACTTTTCATAGGCCAAGGATTTCTCAGGGATGGTTAGTTGGGCAGAAGGGTTAGTGGAGCTACAAGTGTGTGGAATTTCTGGGGGTGCCAGTCTTTGGATGCAGAACTCAAACGTGTGTCATCCACTGTTTACAATTTTAGAGCAGTGATTTTCACCTTTGGCCACTTGAAGCTGTGTGGACTTCAACACCCAGAATTCCTTTCTGGCTGGGGAATTCTGGGAGTTGAAGTCCACACAGCTTCAAGTGCCCAAGATTGGGAAACACTGTTTTAGATGGATAATTGTTCTGAGAACTCTCTTGCTTTGTGGATGAAGAATAAAGAACTTGGCAAATGTTTTAAGTATATTAAGAATTCAGGCAAATGTAAAGCTTCAAGTATCACACAAGATGCTGTTCTAATATTGTGTTTCCCCGAAAATAAGACCCTGTCTTTTTTTTTTTTTTTTTTGAACCTTGAAATCAGCTCTTGGCCTTATTGCCATGTGCTCAAAAGCCCGATTGGGCTTATTATCAGGGGATGTCATATTTTGGGGCAAACGGTATTATTTTGAGTGCAGAGAATTTAATAGTGAATTTCGAACGTTAGCATTCCAGAGCCAACCTCTTTCCCTCTCCCTGCTATCTTCCTCTTCCCCCGCCCCCCGTCTGCATTTTTCATATTCTTGTTGCATTTCACAGTTCTTCCCAAGCGGCCATGCCTTTGCCACTGGTTCAGATGATGCCACCTGTCGACTCTTTGATCTTCGTGCAGACCAGGAGCTCATGTTGTATTCTCATGACAACATCATCTGCGGGATTACTTCTGTAGCTTTCTCAAAGAGCGGACGTCTCTTTTTGGCGGGCTACGACGATTTCAACTGCAATGTTTGGGATACCCTGAAGGGTGAACGTGCAGGTGAGTTAAAGCTATAAGGTTAATAGGAGCCGGAAGATTTAAGTGTGTTAACTTTTCTATTGTTACTGTTCCATGGGATAGCAATAGCAGTAGCACTTCTATACCACTTCATAGTGCTTTACAGTCCTCGGTTTACAAAGTCAGCATATTGACCCCAACAATCTGGGTCCTCATTTTTACCGACCTTGGAAAAAGATGGAAGACTGAATCAACCTTGAGTCGGTGAGAATTGAACTGCTGGCAGCCACCTGGCAGTCAGCAGAAGTAGCCTGCAGTACTGCATTCTAACTACTGCGCCACCATGGCTCTGGGATGTCAGTTACAGTATGTGGCATACAAATTCATTGTTAAGCGAATGAGTCCTGGTTTTTAACCTCAAAGCCTTAACTCTTAACCGTTTTCCTGAAGAGTTATCTTTTAAGTATAGCTGAGCTGAGCTCTACCCGAGCTCAATGCGGCGGGGTGAGCTCCTGTTACTTGCCCCAGCTCGGGGCCACCTAGCAGTTTGAAAGCATGCAAAATCAAGTAGATAAATAGGTACCACTTTGGTGGGAAGATAACAGCATTCCCTGCGCCTCGGCATATAGACTATGGCATACGAGCACCGCTCCCTAGAGTCAGACCTGACTAGATGGGGGAAACCTTCATTTTTTTTAAAGAAAAAAGTTACGCATTTGCACAAGCGTTTCACTATTGCCTCGATTTTCACAACTGAAATCGGCTGTTCTCATGTAGGGTTGTTTTTTGTTTTTTGTACTTCAATCCATTCCCTGTAATGTGGCTAAGGCATTTTGTGTGAGAACCTATTTCTGAAAACAGATACACACATATTGAAGAACATGAGAATTGTGAATGGGACATTTGAGGGCCGTTGGTTTAATTACTGTGCTCTTCGACCCTTTCAGGTGTTCTCGCTGGTCACGACAACCGAGTCAGCTGCTTAGGAGTGACTGACGACGGCATGGCTGTAGCTACAGGATCTTGGGACAGTTTTCTCAGAATCTGGAATTAACGTGGCGTTTGAACCCCTCCCCTCCACCAATAGACACGCACACCTTCTCCACTGAGATCTGGAGAGAGCAATGCTGCAGCCTCTTGCTGTGAAATAACATTTCTACTTTGTATTTACAGGTGAAGTTTTTCTACTTGCTGATTATTGCATAAGTAGGCTTTCTGTAAATGAAATTAAAACAAACACACAGAAAGAACGAAGAAGTGGTAGATGGGAGAAATCAGTGACTTTTCTTTCAAGGAAAAAGAGAGAGAGAGAGGGCGGCACACCTGTTTGTGGTGAGCAAAGCTAAAAATAAAAATAAAAATAAGCCAGTCAGTTAGCATTTCGTTTGGCTACATTTGCCCTGAAGGGATTTCTGCTTGTGCCCCAGTCCTGCTAATTCTGTACCTTTTTGTACATAATTGAATATACACATAGCAGCCAATCATGTAACATTTTGTCTGTAAGTAAAGGAACAATGTTTGCGTTTTTTTTTTTTAAAAAGAAACTGCATTTATATAGCTCTACGTTTAAACTAAGATGTAGCTTCTGAGTTCTGCAGTGGATCGGCTGGTCTGCTGTTATAATTTTCCCCCCTCTTCGTGAATTTACTGTAGATAAAAGTGTGAAGTTAATGAGCTGTTTGTGAAATTTTATAACAGAGTGTCTGTATAAAACAAAACAAACAAACAAAAAAAGGAAATCCCTCGATGACTCTTGTGACACTTTTGCCCCTTTCTTGCTCGATGACTATTTCTTCCCCTTATAGTGGCAGCAGATCCCAGATAATCCATTAGAAGCTAAGGGGCTCTGATCACCACAGAGTTAAACAGATGATCAGATGCATAATGTAAGAACTGAAATGTTTTTAAGGATTTAGATTTTGAGCTTCCTTCTAACAGCCTCTAATGAGATTAGGGTCAGGAAATTGAAGGATACGTATTTCCTTGAGACGGTGTTTGACGGGTGTATTTTTGTGGGGACCTGAATAATTGTAATTGAGACATTTCTCATCTTCTGTAAACTTATTGTCTAGCTTAAGACTGAATGTGGGGCCGCTTCCAATTTCTAGCAAAGGAACCTGAATCCTCTTTGAACTGCATCACTCCAAATGTATGTGGGGCATATTCTGAGTGCATCCACACATTATAATTCTACTTTATATATTCCAGGTAGAAAAGTTTTCTCTCGTATGAATCTTGCATATGTGGGGGAAGTTGTTACTATTGTCTCTTTAAGACCGCCAACACAGTGTTTCTCTTGAAATCTGCACTCACTGCATGAAGACTCTTTAATACTGCATTAGTATTACCTCTTTAAAACTCTTAGCCCGGTGTTTCTCAACCGTGGCAACTTTAAGATGTGTGGACTTCAGTTCCTAGAAACCCCCAGCCAGCTTGCTGGCTGGGGGATTCTGAGAGTTGAAGTCCACACATTTTAAAATTGCCAAAGTTGAGAAAGACTACCCTGGTATACGTCACATCAATTTTTTAATGAGCTATTTGAAACTTCAGTTAAGCCCATCACCCACTACAAGAAGTGCAGAATACTCATTTTAGTAGCTGCTGTGCCAACCGATGGGGCACATTCACCTAGACATTCCAGAAAAACTGAGCTGCCTTTTTAAGTTTTTGTGTTCGTTAAGTCTCGGGGAAACATTAACAAATGAACTTGCCTTCCCCAGTCTTCCTCTTTCCTTAAAACAGATCTCATTTGGAAAGACTTCTCGCCATAGCTTGAGTCTTCTCTGGAGCAACAAGTATTGTAGGATCCTGCTTTAGGCTTTTTAAATTTTTTGAGCGGAGGTCATCTAATAATCAGCCATCAGAATTGTCCTGTTCTCATAAATATACAAATGGGTAGCTGAAAACGTGCTTTAGAAAAATCCTCAGAATTAGTTTTCTTGCTGTCTGTACTTGTAGCAGGTATGAAGTGGATCTGATTCTTCAGAAGTATTCATGGATTGGCCTAAAATGTAGTTTCAGTTCTATATTAATAGTCTGATTTGATGGTAAAGGAAAGACCCAATGTTATATGTCCCCTAAAATCTCCTCTGTCTGAACATAGGTTGGTAGTTCTTGTTTGATATTTTCAAACATATTTTGCTGCAGTGCCATTTGTTTTCTCAACTTTGACCAATTTTTTTATCCTATATTCCAGCTTTTTTTTTTTTTTTTTACTGGTGGCAAAAGTGCCAAAGCATGTGCCAAACGCTTTGGATGTAGGAGCTCTTAACAGTCCATGAATCCTCTGTTAACATCCAGAGAGAGAGGTGTTCTTTCAAAACAAATATTATACCTGTTAAGATACATACATGCAGCTTTTTATTATCTTTGATATGGTCCATTCTTTTCACATCTGATACCGATGTGATTTCACCCCAAGGGATTTATTAAAAAAAAATTCTACTATTGTAATACAGCTCTTCATTCTACCATCACCTCACCCTTAGTCCACTACTTGTCTCCTTGGTGTTCAAGATATATTTTGTAAGGGCCTTAAGATTGCCTTGCATGAGTAAGAAAAAATTTGCCCTTTTAGGGGAAAAATGCCCAGCCCAAAAATATTCACAGCAGTTAATTGTTCGGTTTGCCAAAGAAGCTGGGAGCCATCACACAGTCTCAGTTTTATTACTTTAGTGCAGGGGTCTCCAACTTGGTAACTTTTAAGACCTGTGGACTTCAACTCCCAGAATTCCCCAGCCAGCCATGCTGGCTGGGGAATTCTGGGAGTTGAAGTCTACAGGTCCCCCAGCTGCCAAGTTTGACCATCCCTGCTTTAGAGTTTTGGTTATCCTACTTCATCAGGAATAGTTTGTAACCATATATTGGATTTTGGGAATAATTCCCCTAGAAAGCAGAACAGCTTGCATAAATAAGAGTCCTTAGCGTTAATTGTGGGAACTAACAGATTTCCCAATACGATTTGCCAAAGTACATTTGCCTGGAATGCATAAAATGAAACAGGAGTTTGCATGGATGTCCTGCAATGGGATTGGGCCACCTTGTGGGGTCTGGAGATGCTTTCCTGCCCTCCCATCATGGAGTTGGAGGATTAACAGCTGCTGTTACATCTGTAGAGGAAGCAGGTGTCAAATTTCAGACTTTTTTTTTTTTGCCAGAAGTGGTTAAGGAACAAAAGTACAAAGCCTTAAAGTACTTAAGTTTCCTCCTTCACTCTCCTTCACTCTCAACCTGATCAGGTTTGCTTTGCTGCTGTGGGTTCTTGAAGCCTCTGCAAAGTGAAGGCCCTGTTCTGAAATCTTCGCTCCTGCCTCTTCTGCTCTCTCTAGGCTACCCATTCCTGTCCTACAACGCAGGGTTTCCCCAACCTTGGCGAATTTCCAGGCATACGGAGTTCCGCCGGCATTGCCATGGCGGAGAATTCTGGGACTTTGAAATCCACTGAGCTTCAAATTTGCCAAAAAACCCCTTGAGGGTTTTGATTTCTGCTGTTTTTTTTCCTGCTCTTATTTTCCTGCCTCCTGCAGAAGTTTTGTCCCCGGTGCTGACTGCGCTTTAGGATTAAGGAGCTTGCCGTTCGTTTCCCCGTCAGGCTGAACGGCTGTAGAATTGCCGGTTCAAGTAGCACCACCTAGGACGGATAATGCCCTCAAAAGACGAATTGTACAGTTTAACTTAAGAAGTGGTGTCTCCAGCGTCCCATTGGTGATTCAGAAAGCACTGTAGGCCAGAGATGTCCCAACCATGGCAAATTTTAAGACCCGTGGACTTGAACTCCCAGAATTCTGGCTGGCTGGGGAATTCTGGGAGTTCAAGTCCACGGGTCTTAAAATTTGCCATGGTTGGACATTCACGCTGTAGGCTTTATCCGAGAGTGAGCCAAGCCAGGTCATATAGTGCCTCACTGCAATAGGGCTCCTTAGCTGACCAATCTGTATATAACCAATCTTCCCCTCGTAGCTAGAATTCTTACGTCCTGCATGAATAACTGAGCTGTTGGATATTCTCGTAACTTTTCTGACTTCCTCCTTGCCCCCTTCTTAACGGCAGTTCCTCCCTTGAACATTATTCTTTTTTGAGGGGCGAATGAGGTGAGACTCCTGAGTAGCATCTGCTACAGCTGGAAGGGAAAATACCTGCCCCTCCAGCTGTGGATGAGACCATCTCATACAGACACACAGGATTTGTTGGGGGAAAAAAAACCCCATGCATCCTTATACCCTCCCTTCCCTTTTTTTAAAAAAATTAGGCCCTCGTGCTACTCAGACTACTTCCATATTCGAGGCATTGCAAGTCTTATTTTTCTTTTCTTTCTTTCTTTTTTTTTTTTTGTTGAAATAAAAGATTGTGTAAAATACATGCAAGACTGTTAAATGCTTAGTGGTGTTCTGGTGAGTCTGTTCACAGTGTTAACTAAATGATTAATAAATAAGATTTTTTTTTTGGAAAAAAAAATGTGCCTGACTTTCTTTTGATTTTAAATAATATGGGGATTTCTTAAAAAAGATATTTCAGGCCTTTATTTTTACAACACAATGGTGCTCTCTTTGTTTCCTTCTTGCTGCAGCACATCTCTGTGTCGATCCCAGCCTCCTCTTCCTCCTTCCTCCAGAGGAGGAGTTGTGTCTGACTTGTTTTCATAAATGAACAGTCTTTGTGCTTTTGCTGTTAACAGTTTATTCCAGGAAGTGTGCAGTAGGGTTATTTTTAAACCTTCACTTGTTACCGTCTTCTCTTGAAGAAGAAAAAAAAAAACTTCCAAAATATTTCCAGGTACCAAGTGAATTCTGCACTGCCTCTCTTGGATTGTATGTTGAGAACATCTTAAAATCCTTTTATTCAGCCTAATTGATTAAACAAACAAACAAACAAAAACCAGAGATTTGTGCCATTTTTTTTTCTTAGTGCTAATGGGGAGGGGAGGGATGGACACTTGCTATGAATTGTTTATAGTTCTTCCCCTAATGAATCTTTCCTTTGTAATTGTACAGTGTCTCGGTGGAAAAATGTTGCCTGACTTTAACATTGTAACCAATAAACAAGTGCTTTTAATTAGGATTTCTCTTTTTCTCCTGTTCAGTTGATTTCATGTTTGCCTGTTCTTCAGCGTATGGCATCTAAAGTCCCACCAGTTTTACTCTCTCAACCTGGATATTAATTACTCCATGCTAGAAAACGAGAACAAAAAAAAAAAAAAATTCTTTTCAAGGATATTACGGTTTTAAAGGATTACGCTGTAATTCTCCTTTATGGATCCTATTCGTTGAAAACGGACAAAATATGGGGCATTGCTGTTCAACAACCATTCCTTTTGAATTATTTAGGTCACCTTTTTTTTAAAAAAAAAAATGGATATGTATATTAAGAGCCTTGGTAGTACAGGGGTTTAAGGCACCCTGTTATTAAGCTGGTTATTAAGACCAGCTGCCTGCAATTACTGCAGGGTTCGAATCTCGCCAAGGCTCAAGGTTGACTCAGCCTTCCATCCTTTCTAAGGTAGGTGAAATGAGGATCCAGTTGTGGGGGCAATAAGCTGACTTTGTATAAATATACAAAAGGATGAAGGCTATTGCTGAGCACATTGTAAGCCGTCCTGAGTCTTCGGAGAAGGGCGGCATATAAATCAAATTAAAAAATTAAAAAAAACCCACATCATTGCATTTTGACAGAACAAAAATTAATTAATTTTTTTCCCCAAAATAGAAAGAATTAACTATGCATGCTCTGCCAATCAGGTATATCCACTAATTTTGCACTGCTGGAATTTCTATTTATTTTTTTAAATAGAAATTCAGGAGATGATTGATAGAGTGTTTAGAGGCAATCCTTATCTCCACCCACAGAGACAGGCAAGACACCAGAATATAAACTGACAGCAAACAGCACTCCTTACTAGCACTGATGATGTTACCTAGTTAGGCCAATGAAACGTCTGCAAGAAAACAAGCAAGCTCAGAGAGCACCAAGGACCCCACATTTCAACCCTGAGCTACAAATATTATTCACTAATCCTTATCTTCCTCCTTGTTTCCTTCTGCCTTATGAAAGAACCGAGATGTTCTCACTGGATTTGGGTGTAGTTCACTTTTTATCTTTAAATGATTTTATGATTCATTCTTCCCTCTTCTAAATCTAACCAGTTGTCATCTTATTCCTGGCAACAGAAGGAAGCGAAGAAGTTTGAGTATAACAAAAAGAACTTCAATGCAGTATGCCTCAGGCTGTAGTCAGTGGTTGGATTCAACCGGTTTGCACCACTTCGGCCGAACCGGTTGTTAAATTGGTGGCTTGCCCCGCCCCTTCCAGAAGTCCCCACGCGCCCCGTTTTGGCTTCCAGGAAGCTGCAGGGAGGCCTATTAGTCCCAAAACGGGGCACGGGGTGCGGTATGCCCCCCCCCCCACAACCCGTTTTTGCTCCCAGGAGGCTGCAGGAGGCAGAGTTCTGCCTGTCACACCCCTTGGCCATGCCCACCCAGCCGGTCATTAGGGCAGAGAACCGGTTGTTAAATTATTTGAATCCCACTACTGGCTGTATTCTGTAAATAAGCCATTTCATGCAAGCATTTGGGGCTCAAGATTTACTCATTTATTCAGATTTTATAGCTGTCCATTTCAGCCAAGTGACTTCGGCAGCTTACCATTCTAAAACTATAAAACAATTAAAAGCATCCAAAGAATAAATAACAGCGGCTGAGATAGTTAACCAACTAACAATAATGCCAAGAAATGGAGTCCTTAACGCATTCTGAGCTCGGGCCCAGAAATATAGCCAAGTTTTTAAAGTCTAATGAAACACCAACAGGGCTGCAGCCATTCTAATCTGAGAAGGGAGAATATTCCATAAAGCAGAGGCTGTTACAGCAAACAAGGCCCAGTTCCTGCCAGTTGACATTCTGGCTGAAGGGATCTGCGGAATGACCAATTTGCTGGATTGAATTGGACAAATGGGAAAAAGATTGTCAATCAGTTAACGGGTCCCAAGTCAGTTTTAAAGGTGACTAAACACATTAAATTGCACCTGGAAGCGCACCGGTAACCAAAGCAGCTCAAGTAGTAATGTTACATTTGCTATTGTTTGCTATCTGCACAGTCACATTCTTTTAACCAGTTTAGTTGCGTATGGTTTAAGTTGTCATTTTGCTTTAACATCTCAGCAAATGTCCCTGGTTCCATCTACGATTACTGTATTGATCTGACATAAAGAACACAAGCATTCCACATTAAACATTCAAAGAATAATACCAGAGTTGCCTCTTGTTGCTGAACAAGGCAGAAATTTGAGAAAACTGCCAATGGTGTTACTAGCTCTTTGTCTCTTAGGAACTCTTACCAAGCCTCACCATAATACGATATTTTTTTAAGAACTAAAGTTCTTAAGTTCTAAAGTTCCACGATATTTTTTTAAGAACTAAAGTTAATTCTTCACTTTAATCAAGAATGTAATGCAATAACCTTTATGAAGGATTTGCTATTAGAATAGCAGTTACAGTATAAAGAAGAAAAGTGGAACACGTAGAAAAAATGAGATATACAAAAATTATCACCATAGAAAAAATGAGATATACAAAAATTATTACGTCTTCCCATGGAGTGAACCAAAATCTTTAGTTCTGCAGTTGTTACAATGTGAAACCAAGATTGAATGATTGTTTCTATTAACTGGGATTTATTGCTGGGTCGCTTCTGACTAACAAGTTTCTTTAATTGGCTCCATAGATTTTCAATTGGTTTAAGAAGGTCTGGGCTATTCCCAAGCCATTCCAGTAGTGGAATAGGATTATCTTGAAACTCAAAAAAAAAAAAGTGTTATTAGCCATCAAACCTCAAAAACACACTTTTCCCAAAAAGTTTCCACAATTCTGGCCACGACTGTACATGATATAATTCCAAAGCAGTAGAAGGTACCAATCCAAAACTGTCATGAGAAGCTAGAAAAGCAGCGAAAAGCCTTCTATGTCAACTGTTATGATATCCCACCAGCATGGAAGGAAGAAATCAACCAGTAACACTATGTGTGGGCTTCCAAAATTGATTTGAGACATTAACTCCCGACGTTAATCTTAGACATTTCAGCTGTGAAAGTAAAGGGAGGATGTAAATAGTACTTGGACATTATTTCCTTTTCTCTGGTCCCATGTGAAGCAGCTATAATCCTGGGAATCTTTTTTAAAAATACATAATTTAGAAACTGCAAAAAATTTAACTTCACATTAGTGCAGGGGTGTCAAACTCGATTTCATTGAGGGCCACATCAGGGTTGCGTTTGACCTCGGGGGCGGGTGAGTGTGGCTGGGATGGGTGTAGCCAGCTCGACATCACTTGTGTCGGGGGCACCCCTCCCAGGCTCCATTTTTGGCTGCGACGGCCTCCTGCAGAGCTCTGCCAGTGAAAACGGAGCTCGGGAGGGCCCCATTTTCGCTGGTAGAAGCACAGTGGACCAGTCCTTCACTGTTTCCAGGGTGCCCTGCAGGCCAGATCTAAGCACCCCATGGGCTGGACCTGGCCCACAGCCTTGAGTTCAACACCCCTACACTAGTGGTTTGCACTCTACTTGCACCTGAATTTTAGCTATCCAGGCATACCAGTCCTGAATTAAAATGCTGCTGGTAAGACATGTGGCAGAGTGGCATGTTAAATTTTGTAAGGTTAGATACTATCCTGTTCACCGCTATCAATTGCGACAATACTCTGGTTTCCTAGATCTTTTTTTGAGAAAAGTTTGCCTGCCTAACAAAGCTTATTCTGAGAAGTAGCGAAAATACATCCAGACTTTTTCTGCTAAATCAATCTGATCTGAACCAGGAATTCCCTCAGTAAAAATATACAGCTTTAAATATGCCACTTTGAAGATTATATTCATCTTTCGGCCAAATGAAAACCCTAGAATGGCATCAGGATAACCGATTGTCTCTGCGTCCAAACACTACAAATCTGCTACAAAAATTGGCAGCATTCTGTAATACTGTATTGGTTTGTACAAGAGTCTTTGGGAAGAAAATCATCACTGCTCACTCCCAGAGAGAATTGCAATTAACAATATGATAATAGGACTGGGGTGAACAAAGAATTGTCTTGGATGCCAGAAAGAGGAGCTGACTCTTGGTGTGAACACTTATACAAAATACTACCGGTCTCTTTGTTTTATTTTATATACTTTACTTTTTACATTTTCAAATAAATTTTTATATACTACAGTAGATACAAATTAGTTCATCTTATGAAAAGTTGCAAAATGATTCAATCAATAGTAAATACTGCTTCCTTCCTGAGTTCTTGGGCACAATTCATAGCCTAAGTATCAGAACGGCCGGATGGCAACGGAGGAACCGAGGAGTCAAAGCAGCAGGAAAAATTCATGTGACTAAATCCCTGTGAGGGAAACGGTGCTAATCTTTTAAATTCCACTCTTCTTTTTCTGGAGAAAATCCTTTGAAAAACAGTCAAATTCATCTTCAAGACAAACAGCTTTCTTCCTACAAAACAAAAGGAGGAAAATAATTAGTCCTCCAGGGACCTCAAACATTAACAATACCCAAGTCAGTTTGAGGAAAACTGGTAAATTAGTGTTCGAAATAAAAAAATTAAAATTAAAAGTACCTCTCTAAATGAATCTAAATTAGAGAGATACCCATTCATTTGCATAAGTAAGAGGTGCAGTGGCTCAATGGCTTAATGATGCTGGAGATGGCAGGGTGAACTCTTGTCACTCGCCTCAGCTTCTGCCCACTTGTAGTTCGAAACCATGTTCTGTGCGAGTAGATAGATAGGTACCACTTCAGCAGGGAGATAAGTTGGTGCTCTGTACAGGCAGTCAAGGGCTCTGAACCTTCCCAGTTGCAGTGCCCGCTTGTGAAGCACCTCCAGGAAGGGAGGGGGCCTTGGGTGATGCTGCAGGTAGAGCCATTTGTCTTTCTCTGGAGCAAAGCCAGCTCGCCCTCCTGTGGTGTACCATGGGAAGCATGCAAGTGTGTCCTATAACAGGGCTGGTACCTTGGCAAGCCAAATTACTATTCTGCAATATCACTGGTCTCCTGGTTACTGTAACAATGCCATATTGC